ACTGGACCAATAGCGAGGCACTACGTCACACGTGCAGTGACTTCCACCAATGGGACGTCCCCATTTTCCAAAATGGCGACGCACCCCTATCCTCCTATTGGCTGAGACCGCATGAATGTAGTGTGGGAACCGGTCGCCACAGAATTTCACACGAGCACAGAAGGATATAAATACAAAGCAGAAATCTCTGTTCCCACACTCGCCACACGACCGTCCATTGAGAAGTTGATCGCAGAACGCCGTTCGCAGTCACGAAGTTTCATTCCTACACATTTGCCGGACTTACTCGGAATAACTCCAGACCGTGCAACATGCCTGCCGAGAAGGTTGTGGACAAGGCCCGTGAGGCAAGAATGGAGAGCCGTAAGGTATGTATTTGTGTACTGCACAACTTACTACTACTACAACCGTAGTATCCCCCATAGTCTAATTTGCCCCGTGATATTGTAAGTTCTGTTGCTTTACACAAATGGCTACCATGCAATGTACAGACAATGTATCTTACCATGTTTTTGCACCTTTTTCTACAGTCTTCCAAGCCGATCATGGAGAAGAGACGCCGGCGCTCGTATCAACGAGAGCCTAACAGAGCTGAAGACCTCATCCTTGAAGCCCTGAACAAAGATGTAAGTACACATATCATCTCACGTGTGATCGATTTTTTTTGATTATCCAAATCTCCATCAGTGCAAATTATAAAGTGCCCTACGGAAGATGTATATATATATGACCAAGTCTTTATTGTTTGTAACTTGCAGAGCTCCCGTCACTCAAAGCTGGAGAAGGCTGACATCTTGGAGATGACTGTCAAGCATCTTCGCAACCTCCAGAGGCAGCAGATGGCGGCTGCCGTCTCCACCGACCCTTCACTGCTGGGCAAGTACCGCTCTGGATTCACCGAGTGCATGACCGAGGTGTCCCGCGTCATGAGCTCCATGGACGGCGTCGACTCGCAGGTGAAACAGCGTCTCATCAACCACCTGGCGACTCACCAGCCAGCCACCAACGTCATGACGTCCGGGCTGTACGCAGGGGTTCATCCGTCGGCGTTCCCGCACGTCCAGCCCGTACAAGTGCAGGTGCCAGCCTCCGCGTCGGTCCCCATGCAGAGGGTGCAGCTGTCCCCAGCTCAGGGCGCGTACCCCAGGCCATCCAGACGACCATGTACGGCGGAATCCCCGTGGTGCCCGGCCACTTCGTCGGCGGAGAGCCGGTGGCGGTGCTCCTGCCGGGCGGGCAGACCATCGTACAGACCAACGGACAACAGCAACAAGTCGTTCCCGTGCAGTACACAAACACTACCGTCGTGTCAGCCGCGCAACCACAAGGACTTCCCTCAGTCTCTGTCTCCTCTCCAAACGGACTCAGTCAAACCGTGGTGCCCAGCCACCCCGTCCCCACACAGGCAGCCGCAGTACCCACCAAGGCGGCCGTGTCACCCGCGCCTATCCCTGAAGAGAAGATGTGGAGGCCGTGGTGAAAGAAAAACGAACTGAAAAGACTTGATGTTGTACATTCCACTGTTACATGTACTGAAATCTGAACATCAGTTATAGTACAAATGATTTTATCATGTATATACAGAAAACAATGAATTGAAAGAAATTAATGAGATTGCAGATATATTTTATATTATATATGGCAGCATGTTAAACATACGAAGTTTCTATGTGTATATGTGTTGGTCTTTTTGATACCGTGGTATTAAAATGGGATGAAATGAATCTTCTGTGTGTGCGACTGTTGAATCACTAGTGTATGCAAGTACTTACTGAATCACGAGGTCCTTTTCTCGAAGTAAGGGGTTAGGTGAGTGCAGTAGGTTGAATGACCGTGATCAAAGGTCCTTGGTCCAAGCAAGTTATTTTAGCCTTTCATTGGACCAATACCAGTATGTAGTAGTCAGGGAAGTCTCTGCCCTAGCATGTCTCAACCGCAGCCCAAATATCAGGACTTATAGCTCGCGTGAGGTCTCTGTAGAACGTAAGTAAAAGAATCTCGGCATAATGGTCATTGCATCCGGAAACACGACAAATCTAAAAAGGGAAGCGTGCCCCATCAAAGCTTATTCATACACACAACAATAGACGCCTGTCGTATCACATACTGGCGTCGTCCGCCGAAAGCATTCCCTCGTACTGCCCAACACACGACTGTGGGAAAATAGCGGGTAATAGCTTTGGAATGTAAGCATCTTATAAAGGTACAATAGTCGTGAATAGTTTTGAATGCCTATGCATGTGGCATTTGGGCGTTTTTGTCTTGTTGCACTGATTAGGGTGAGTTGAAAGAGTTTGTCTCTCAGCACAAGGTTGAACTATCTATAGTATAGAACGTTTCGCTATATCGCCCCTAAAATGTTGTTCTGAAACGCCTCTAGTCGCTGAAACAGGAAACACACTGATACAAGCTACTCGTATCTTGTATCATATGCTACGTGTTCATGTAGCGATAGATTTCGTGGTCAATGACTCCGTTCTTTGATATTTTGCGAAGGCCACCTTTTCTTTCAATGCAGACAACACTTGTTGTTCGCCGTTTCCAAACCCCTTGTGTACTTGACAATTTCCTGCATGCCTTTTGCAAGGCCACAGAACAGCGGGGCTTGTTTTTCGGAACGTCCTTGTCCGCGGCGGTATCTCACGGTTACATCTCTGCGGAGTTTCTGTCAGTGATTCATCAGTACGCGTATGCCAGCCGCCCGGAGCCCTGCGGGGCGCGCTGCCGTGGGAAAATCACTGGCGTGTGCGACCTCTGGCTCGGGGCGGCCACGGGTCACAGGCGCTGTTTGAGGACGCTCGGGCGCGCCCAGCCACGGCTCGCGGGCCATATCAAACAGACACCCCGCGGGCGGACGTCAAGGTCCTCAGGGTTCAACCAAGTGGAGCGTATAATAGGGGTGGAGGCTACTGTCTTAGTTTACCTTTTCTCCTATACTTTGTACTCTCCATGATTACAGTACGGTTCGCTATCACACAATGCTTGTGTGCAGGTACTACTAGTAATTTCTTACATAATTTCATTGGTTTTATGCTATTATGGTTTTCTTAAAATATTACGCACTCCCTAGAAATATTTCTACGTGGTTGCTTCTACTAAAATACCGTAGCATGTCTGTTATTCTGTTTGTATGAGTGCTTAGCATTGCGTGAAGGACACACACACTAACATACCGGCTTCTGGTGGAACGTAAAACTAGAATAAGAACATACCATCGCATCGCAAGCCGAAAATCTATACTATAGCGATATCTAAAGAACAATGGATGTGTTTCATGCACATAAGAGAATGTGGGGGTTGGGGGGTGGGTGGGTGTGTAGAGAATCTCGGTAAGTCGGTTTGATCATTTTGGTCTCATATCGTATTTGATCCTACGTGCCTGTGTCAGACGGAAGCGTGTTTTGCCAAGTGTGGGGATCGTCAAATAATTACTTCCGCAAAAACATGGGGTGTCAGCCGAAACAAACATCCGCAACATGTATGGCAAACCTGACTTCGGTAATACAATAATCAAATAGAAATAATGGTAGCTTGTTTCTATCTGAAATTTGCGTTTGTTTGATAGTTAATGGTAGATGTAACGATATGGGGCGTTCGTGTTGATAGCTTTTTTTTTTATATTGTTATATATTGAGGAGGCTATACTATAATGGCTACTGCAAATTGTTTATCGATAAAAAAAGTTGGCATAGCTGGGAAACTTTGAAATATGTTATAGTGGGGGCCACACGTTTTTACAATGGGGGCTAGAGCCTCCCAACATCTGCTTGGATATTTGAGTCCTGGATCTCAAGTTTACCAATTAGTGCTGTTGGCATGCCCTCCTGTCCCTGCTATAAGGTCATACATACATCACTGTCATAGACTCTACCACCCAACACGAGTTACGTGTGGCAATATTGGCTTATTTCATGTCCATTATCGTTTTATAAGTAAACGAAAAGCCCTGCTCGCAATGCGAGGTTGCAACGTAAAATATTTATTGACTATATCTGCAAAGCTTTGGAGAATAAAGGTTAATCCACATGACCTCTTTAGGAATTGAACTAGAAAAACGCCCTTTATAGGCAGGTATGCGGCCACTTGTGTTGGCCTTTATAATATGTATGTCACGGTATATGGTATGAA